CAGGGTGAGCGCCCCCTGCTGGCCCCACTAACACCTCTTCCAGCAGCAACCTTAGTTTTTCCCAGGAGGTCTCCCATCCAGGTACTGACCTGACTCAGACCTGCAGAGCTGCACTGGTTGGTTTCGCTTTGTTTTTAAGTACTATTTTAACTATTTTTACATATATTTTAAATCATTCTCTTTTTAACAATAGCCTGGTTAGCACCAAGTATTGCAGAAACTACAATAAATGGGATTGGAAGAGCCATAGTTTCAGTGTTTCATAGAAAGGGCTGGAGGGCGGAGTGGTGGCACTGTAGCTAAGGATCTGCACCTATGGTTCAAATCCTGCGGCTGGCAGAGGAATCCTACTCTGTTGGGCTCCAGAGCAAGGCCCTTAACCCCAGCTGCTCCAGGGGTGCCGTATAAATGACTGACCCAAGCTTCTCTCTTTGTCTGTGTGTCTCATGGAGAGCAGGCTGGGGTGTGTGAAAAGACAAATTCCTAAAGCAAGAAATTGTATAGGGCCAATAAAGTGATCTTATCTTATCTAAATATAGGTACAAGTTTCATCCATCTGTATCCGTTGGGAAAAAAGGATCTCAAACGTTTTTAATTAGCGCTGAATATTAATTCAAAAGCAATCAACTTTCTTTTCTGAGAATTAATTGAATGCCACTGCGATCAGACCGTCCCTGATGCCCCGTGCCGAATCAGAACGCGCAGGACCTGCCAGCCACCCTCCGGGCCTGGAGCTGGGGAGGACTGGCAGGGAAACGGAGACAGCCCGACGCACGCAGACAGAGATGCGGCAGACGCACTGCAGGACGGACACGCAGGAGTCACGCACACAGGCACAGAGAGCCCCGCGGGCCAAGCGTCAGCGCCTGCCTGCCCGCGGCTGGTTGTCCTCCCAGCAGCCGTGTGAAGGCGATGTGAAGCCATACCCCCAGCGAGAGATGGCCGCAGCGGCGACAATGGCGTGACGGTGGCAATGGTACTGGGGGTGGTGTGGGGCTTGGGGGGGGGGCCCAGGCTGGCAGGGATGCAGCCCTGAGCCCCAGTGCCCCGGTGCCCCAGTGCCAGGGCTACTGCTCGGTGAGGGGAGCGGGACGGGGCAGAGGGGCGTGTCCCACGACAGAACCATTGAGAGACCCTACCCGGAACCACAGCCCCCGTCCGATTGGACACGCTAGCCTCGGTCACCTCACTCATCACCCGGGTCCCCGGGCAGCGCTGGGTGGTGGTTCGGACTGGCAGGGAGCTCCCGCATGGCTCACCTGCTCTCTCCTCGGCCAGGTTGCCGAAGGCCCTCGTGCGAGCTGAAATGGCGGACGTGCAGCCCAGGGAGCCAGCAGTCGCCTGGTGATGTCATAGTCTACCCTCTAGTCTAAGGGTCTTTGTATGATGACATCATTCTGTGATCAGGGAGCTGAGCGCAGTACTGGCTGGACGGTTCCGTGCAGACAGAGCAGCGCACAATGCACAGTACAGACTGACAGTGCAGTGTAGCCAGTCTGTTCATAAGAAAAGGAATGTAAGTTTTTGAGTCTAAGTGTACAAAACAGCATTTGTTTCAGGACCAAGAGAAATGTAGCCACAGTGCAGCAGACCTGCTGGTTCAGACCTGATGTCGTGATGTTGTGATGATGTCATTATGTTGTCAGACTAGAAAGGCTCATCCACAGTTACCATTTCACCAGAAGGAAAGTACAGAAAATCATACAAGAGGCACAATTCTGCAATAAGACCTATTCACCCTTCACCCCATGCAGCTGGGGTGCTATCTATGTGGAGTTTGCATGTTCTCCCTGTGTAAATTGCAGAGCAAAGAAAATAGGAAAGTCTGCCGATGACCCCTCCCACCCAGGTTACTGACTGTTTCATAAATGTCCCTCAGGAAGACGTTATGTCTACTGAAACCAGAACCAAACAGCATCTTTCCAAGGGCTGTCTTTATGCTTATCCAGAACCCTAGTTCTATGTGCAGTGTCCTAACGCTGTCTATTGTCTTGTTTGTGTATGGCTTATGTAGAATGTCTTTGCAGCACCAAGGTACACCGGAGTAAATTCCTTGTACATGAATTGTGCTGGGTGAATAAAGGTGGCTCGGATTCGGATGTTCATGTGGAGCGTATGTGCGTATCCTGCCTCGTGCCTGTCGCTCGCTGGGATAGGCTCCAGCTCCCCTCCTCAGACCCTGAACTGGAAGAAGCAGGTAGAATATGGATGGATGGATGAAGAATGTCAGAATACCCCTTGCCCTAGACTAGCAGTGCCCAGCCCTGGTCCTGGCGCCCCACACACCTGCTGGCTCTCAGGAGATCACTGAGCCTCGCTTCATCTGAGGAGCTGCTTCGCTGGAACATTTGCCTTTTGTTTCGACTCACAAGCTTGGGATCTTATTTCACTTACAAAATACAAAGGGTTCGAGCTGCAACATGTTTAAGAGCCGAGAACAAACAGCTCCCGTGACTCCTGTCATCATTATCAAGTCAGTGAAGGGCTTGATTGTGTAACTGAGGGCTCGGCAGTCAGAAAAACCAGCAGGGGTGTGGGCCACCAGTATCAGGACTGGAAACCCCTGCCATAGGCTAAGCCATACCACCTCCATTCAGCATGTTTCAATCCTTACTGAGATCAGAGAGCCTAAATCCTCCCTCTTCACCCACCAGCTCCAGCTGCAGCCTGAGAGACAGTTCACTGACTGACTGTACACTGGAGGAAGTGAACGACTTGTTAGCTGACTCCTCTGCACAGAATACAGGAGCCATCTGAGTTGATAGCAGTGTTTCCGATTGTCCAGCCTTCAGCCTGGAGCCTGGAGCACATCATACTGCTGTAGACATGATCACCTGCAGAACAGGTCAGTCTAGCACAACAGACTAAATGATCTAGAGCTGGTTTTCACACCGGTATTCAGCTATTCAGTGACAAAATGCGCTGACATCATCACGGGATCATGACATCATCACATCACGCACTCACATCTGAGCGGCAGATCTACAGCGTCTACAGGAGGACTTTTGTCTGAAATTAATGCTTTTTTGCATCTTTTAGAACTTCCTTCTCTGTTTCAGCGTTTCACTTTTGTGTGCTGAGATCTCCTCTAAAACTTTCTGTTGGAGGCAGACAGCGCCAAAGCTTGGCAGCCAGCGTAAAACTGATTCTGAGGAGCAGCGCTCTAGCAATGTGCCAGAGGAAAACTCATCTCTGATTTTGATTTTCCATGTGGGACGCCCCTCCCCCCGACACGCCCCCCCCGCAGCAGCACCCCACACAGCTGTGGAGCTGTAGCCCCAGAGCTCTCTACTCACCACCACTGCAGCCGGGTCGAAGGGGCAGTCCGAGGGCTTCAGGAGCCGGGGTCGCAGCGGCGGCACGGGCCGGGGGAGCGCCGGGCCGGGGCGCGGGAAGGGGGGGCCCAGCCTGGCCGGGGCGGGGGGGGGCGTGCCGGACGCAGGCTTCTTCACGGAAGACTCTCTCTTGGGTGCCATGGCGGCGCGTTGGGTCCAGGAGCTGGTTTCCTTCCCGAGCCCCTCTGGCTGGAGCTGGTGCTGCTGTTGCAGGAAAGCCCGTTCTGAACTGAGCCCAGCTCGGGGAAAGTGTGTCAGCGCTGAGCGGAGTCGGGGGAGGAAGAGAGGGGGGCGAGCGAGACCACCGGAGTGTGGGTGTGTCGATCAACAGGCATCAGTCGGCATGTGTCTGTTCATCACTGCCGAGCTGCAGTGACGCTCCAGTCCTGTGGATTCAATCCTGACTGTGTGTGAGAGAGAGAGAGAGAGCTGGCTAGGGAGCCTATATGTAGGTGATTCTATTTCAGGTTTTGAAATAATGGATGTCCTTGGTTTTTAATTCTCCAGACCCTTCCCCCTCTCTCTCTCAGCCCGAGTGTGAGCGTCTTAATCTGGTGAGCCCACCCCTCTGTTTGCAGACATCAGCGCCCCTCCCAGCAGGGACACCCCCGACAGTTGAAGCTGCGAGCGTCTCTCTTTAAGGTAGGCAGGACTATTGCAATGCTTTTCTACAAATAGTTCATTGAAAGTGTTTTGGCACACTGTCATGTGGGTTGCGCAACATCAGTAGCGTTAATCATAACAGGTTGGGAATGTTAGCTAAGCATCAAGATTACTGGGGCAAATCAGATCAACCTAAATACCCTCCACAAACGGAGGGCTATAAAGAAGTTCAAGAGCATTATGGTGTCTGTGTGTGTCGCCCCCCCCCATCCATTGTGAATCCACACGACACCCATCTGGGAGACGCCTCAGGACTCCAGAAATCTTCCATCCCCTTTGCAATACCACTCTCGAAAACAGTGCAAAATATCTCTCATCTCCATAAACACTGCTGTACTGTATTCTTGGGTGTTGACATTTGTCTGTTTTTTTGGACTGGGCTGTAAAACAAATGACCCCCAGGGGGTAATAAAGTCTGAATTCAATGGAATGTGGTTACCCTTGCTGCCTCCCAGCCCTGGGGCCCTTTCTGGAGTGCTGTCTGTGTGGAGTTTGTATGGGCTCCCCACATTCCCATAGGTTTCCTCCCACAGTCCAAAGACCTGCTGGTACATTATTTGGCTTCTGGGAAAACTGGCCCTGGTGTGAGTGTGTGCGTCTGTGTGGGATGGACTGGTATCCCGTCCAGGGGGTATCCTGCCTTGTGCCCGTGGCTTGTTGGGACAGGCTCCGGCTCCCCCGCGACCCTGTAGGGCACAGTTATAAAACATATGTATGGATGGATTGGCGTGGAATTGAACTGAAACACTAGGAGCTCTGCTGGGCGCTGACAGCAGTGACCTGCTGGACGACGAAGACTGTACTCTCTCTCGTTTGCATTTCCCAGAAGGCACACAGAGAGCTCAGGAGCAGGGAGATACACGGG